TCATTCCCGAGACCTGGAGCGGCACAACTGCCCCCAGCGTAAAAGCTGGGGAAAGGAAAAAAAGCATCTTTGTAGCTTGGGAGGACAGACAGAGGAGAGCTCAGGGAGGGGGAATTCTTGCATGAAGATGGCAGGTTTTCCTCTGCTCTTTGATCCCAATAAAAATGATTCAGCAAAGCCCAAGTCCAGGCTGTCGCAGCTTTGCCCTAGGCTCACCTGAGGTCCGATACCACCCCAAGAGGCTTCCCGGGTTCTGCCTTAACAGTCAAACAGCAAGTGGCTCTCTCCAATCTCCCCTTCAGTATCATGTAACCCCACAGTATCATGTAACTCGCCACAGGCTTTGTGAAGAGCCACAAATGATCAGAGAGCAGCAGGCACCGGCAGCTCCATCGCCTTGGCATCTGCACAGGACAGTGAGGACAGGTTGGGCACCGCTGGCAGCATCTGGCACCAGCCAGGAACTGTGATTTCTGGCAGCAGCTCAGTCCCTCCAGGGCTCACACACAAGCACTTGCAGAGGGTGCAACGCTCCCTCCCTCGGCAGCAAATGCTTTCCCGCCGGGAGCTGCTGCTGGCACAGGCGGCTGCGTGATGACAGATGAGTCAAGTGGTGAATGCAGACACAAAATTGTTGAGAAACGCTGTTTTGGAAACACCTTGGTGTTAGCTGGGTGACCTTTGTTCACGACCAGCTTGAATTTCTACCTGCTGCACTCATGATCGTGGTAAAGCACTCTGAGATGAAAGGTTCTCAGTGACAAATCCTCCAACAAAAAGCCCCACTTGTGAGGTTAAAATACTGGGCTAGAGGCACAGAGATACCCCGCAGACCTGATCTAGGGACTAGACCGCAGCATCGTCCCAGAGTCAGCACCACGTGCTGCTGAGGGTCTGTCCTGTGCCATGCTGTCAGATCCTTACAGCCAGGCAGGTGTCTCACCCAGTGACACTTTTGTTAATGTACATCAACACATCGGTGACGTGTTCAGGAGCACAGTAACAATCCTGAAACCCTCAGCAGCTTTGCATCCACTCAATCCATCAGCCAAGTCCCAAAGTAATATTAAAAACCTCACCAGGGGTCCCCGAGCCACAATGGCCACCATTCTCCCCAGACTTCTCGTCCCTCTCCTGGCTGCTGGCATATATATGACCAGACTCACTCCTGCAGGAAATCAAGTCCTATTTTGCTTAAATAAGGCAGTCAGCACCTGGCTTGTATCTATTTAATAACCTGAGCATCTGGTTTCCATACAGCAGGCAAGGAGCAACCACAGCATAATAAAAGTCATTTAGAGCTGCAATTAGCTCTGGGCCCCTAGTTGTATATTATAATAACTAAGTAGGTGCTGCTACATCTGTTGACAGATGCAAGGGATTCAATTCCACCCCATCCCCCATGAGACAACCTGCATCTCCTGTCCTCAGATCTCTGATGTCCCCTTGCACACATCCAACATTACGCTGATGCTGTTGAGCCCTCTGGCATTCCCAGTGCCACCTTCACCCTTCTCCGTCGCAGGCCAGGGCTCACCGATGCCATGCCCTGCTGTGCCACAGCTCTCTCAATAGCGAGTGACTCTGACTGGAGCTGAACAGAACCCCTGAAGTATTTCACTAATGGTACTGAGCAGTACAAGCTGAAACATGGAATTACCGTTCTGCCAATCCGCAGCTCAGTCCCTTTTAACCTCAGTGACAACAGAAATGTCAAAATTTCCCATAAAATTAAGTTACTGAAAAACTCATTTTAAGAATTACCAAAGCCGGCATTTTGGGTTTGGTTTTTTGTTTTGTTTTGTTTTGTTTTCTTCTGGTTTTTGTTTTGTTTTGGGTTGTTTCCCTTTTTTCCTGCAATTGCATTTTACAACACTTTGGGTTGCCTATTTCCGTTTAATTCATGATGATGAAGCAACACTTCAACCTTCACTAAAGACATAAAGCATTGTCAACTAGTCCTTATGATAAAATCATTCAATTCCTTTAAACTCTAATACCTCTGGCCGTTTTGCTGAAGAAAGCTGTACTGCCAGAACATTTTCAAGGCAGCTTCAACATGCCTTTGCTTCAATGCACATACACAATCCAATCCAACTCGGTATTCTTGTCCCTGTTGTAGAGAAACTGAAACCAGAAAAACCAGCTAATGTCTCCAGTGAGGGAGACAGGAGAGCAAAGAGCAGCCCACCACCAGCCCTGGACCTGACCATGGCACAGGGCCCCCCTCCTGGAATGAGGCCATTGCAGAGATGCCCCGGGACACCTTTCCGCAGTGAACTCTAACGCCTTCAGGCACATGTGCAAACACTTGCACATGCAAAAGAAAACCAAAAATGTTTTCTTAGTCACCTCAGCTACCATTTCCAGCTCTCTAGGGATGATTTCAACCATTTTCTATACCATTTCTCGACACAGAACTGCCTATAAATAACTGGTCTTTCAGTTGTAGAATGAGAAGGCCGTTCCCTGAAGGAGGAGGTGTAATAGTGAAAATGGTTTAACACAGAGGTATGAACAAGATCCCAGCCCTGATAAAGCCTCCATGCAGCCAGGAGAAGGAAGGCGGGTGTTTTTCTTTCCACCGTCCCAGAGCTTATACAACCACATACCATTCACACCTGTTTCAGCATCCTCTGCACAGGCAGGGCTGGCCTACAGCAAACCTGGAGAGAAATCAGCACCTTACCTCCCCCTTCAGCAGGAATACGCAATTGAAGAGCAAATCAGTAACCCTGAGAAGCTTGGACAGTGGTTCTCAGCACACCTGACACCTTTTCCATTTGCTGCAGTACTCCCACGACACCATCCTAGTGTCAGTGACATACATCCACACTATTCAATAGAAGTCATCACACACACACACCCCCCTCCCCTTACAGATAGTGCCCCTGCAGCCCCCAGCACAGGAGGCTGGAGCCAAGGGGGTGCAAGGGGACAGTGCCCACAGCCCCCCCAGCCACAATCAGGAAAGACACAGCCCCCGCTGGGTGTCCCAACTATTTCTGTAGTCACCATGTCAGAAAGGAGGCAAGCACATGACATCACCGCATCCCTTTTCCAGGATCCCTCACAACAAACAGAAAAGTCAGAGAGAAGAGCTGGAAACTAAGGTTTATTTATTTCTTCCCAGTTCTGTGGCTTGTGACCAAAGCCGCGGGTTGGCAGGCGAGACACGCTGCTGAACACGGGGCTCGTGATGTGCTGGGTCTGTGTGTGCGCAGGCACGAGAGGGCCAAGTCACCCAGGGCTCAAAATAGGGCAGGGAACAGATTTATATACACCCATAGAAAACTCTAATTTCTTGGTTTTGTTTCATTTTCTAATTCTTTATGTTTTTTTCCTGCAGAGGCCCAACACTGTTTCCCAAAGCATTCAGCTGACAAGTGGCACTGGTCCCATCTCAGCCAAAATCACATGAGCTGACAGCAGCAGTTGGGAACAGCGCACTAGATGCAGCAGCAAATACTCCTGATTATTAGATAAGTTGTTTATAACTTTAGCAAAGTTTCCCAGGGCATATGGCTTCCTCAAGCAAATTTAATTTTGCAATTATTTTTTTCCACCATTACAAGGAAAATGCATTAAATGTTGAAATGATCTGACCTGCAGAAGTGGAATGTGAAATTAGAAGGGATCACCCCTGCAGGAAGAGGTGTCTTTTGCTGTCTTCATGACAAAAATTCCCAGCAATATTTGCCAGAGAAATGTGAGGTCACATCCCCAGCAGAGCCCTGGCAGCAGGAGAGCACTCCAGGGATACAGACAGACATGGCTAAACTGGACACCCTCCAGCCCAGCTGGCCAGAGCCTCCTGCTCCCGTTTAGGTGCCCTCCTCACCATTGCTCTTGCTGGAGAAGCCACCTGACAGGTGTGCAGGCTAGTACAGTGTTTGAGATTTTTTTGCCCAATTTGAACGCTGTCTTGCTCAACACACAGGATGGACCTTTTGTAGCAGAGATGGACACACTGTCAGAGGTGCCTACAGGCTCCACTGCACAAGTGAGATGGAAGGTGGCCATAGAGATGGTAATAGAAACCTGGATTCTACCTCTGTCAGCCAAAGAATAATGAGGTGAAGCCTTTGCAAATGGTTTTAAGAACTCTGGCAATGTTCCTCAGCACCTAGTCTGAGCTGGCATACACCAGCAGCTGGAGACCTTAAGTACACGCTTTCCAGTATCACATAGGGGTAAGGACTACACAAAAATTCTCACGTCCCTCTGTAGTTCTGACCTTAGCATCTCTGCTCATCTGTAAAAGTGAGAAAGGAGTAACAGCTTTGCTGCTGCGTTGCTTTTCTTTTGATTTGTGTGCATGAAAGCATCACATGCATAGACATAGACATACATAAAGGCTGGTAAAAGCAACTTGAACAGACCTCACACCCTAAGAACAGGCCAGACAGAGTAAAAGGGATAAAAGTACAGGTACATGCTCACTGTAAATTCCTCTCCCTTCCAGTTCATGCTCTTTCAGCAACACACAGCTTCAAGGAGAAGGGACACTGATTCCCAGTGCACTTCACCAACATCTGTGTGGATGCAGATGTGTGGATGCACAGAGAGTCTCCAGCAGCCCCGCAACCAAATTCCCACCAGGGCTGCTGGCACTCAGCGCCGATGCCAGCGGGGTCACAAGATGCAGGAGAGCAGAGAACTGGTCCCTGTGTGTGTGCCAGGCTGTGGGGGCGTGCAGGCATCCGCATCTCCAGACCATGCTCCGCACTGCAGCCTTCGAGGGGCATTTCCAAGCAGGAAAGCAGCAAACGGCTGGTGATGTGTGTGAAGCAAGTTCACGAGGAAGAGGTTACGGTTCTCTCCAGACCTGAGAGCAGACAAGCACAAAATGCAACACCACCACCTTTTGTGCATGCCTGCTTTCATTCAAATGGGGATTTTAGGAGTCAAAACTTTAAATGTTATTTTCCAGAGTGCATTAAACTACACATGAAACACTTGAGAGCATCTCCTTTTATTTGTTTCTAGCTGCAGACAGATCATTTGTTCTTGCTGGAACATGTCAGGAAGCTGTGTGGTAGCACACAGAAGGGAGGTTTTCTTGCAAAAATAACCTTATTGCAAACGCTTGGTGATGGCGAAGTGCTCTCAGCCATGGCCATTCCTACAGAGTCCTTCCCAGTCCCAGGGGTGCTGTTACCTCTGCTCAGCTCAGTCAGCACTTGGGTTTCCTCCTCAAAACCAGCTTCTTGAGGCTCTCTGTTTGGCTCTGTCTCTGCTAGGCAGTTAGATGCAGCCTTTCTCTGCTCATCAAGCATCTTGACCACGGGGGCTGTGTGAGTGGTGTAGGCAGGTCGGGGGCGGTGGCACTGGATGAGGTGGCTGGGCAGACCCATGTTGGCTGAGGGCAGCACATACCCTGGAACCCAAGAAACAGACACCATGAGAACACAGCTAGATACCTCCTGGCTTCTTACCTTTCTGGGAAGGGTTAGAAAGAAGGATGCCTTTGGTGACACCAAGGGTGCTCTTTGGAGCCAAAGACCATGGCTTTGCTACGTCCATGGAGAGCCAGGCAGCGCAAAGGAACAGCAGTGCCATACCAGGTAGCGACTCTGAATCAAGATTCAAATAACCCATGCAAGAAATACAGATGATGTCCATCATTTCTAGTCTTTATGCCTTTATTTCTATACTTGAGCACAAGGTGCACTGACCAAGGCTGCAACAGGTCACTATCATGCCAAGAAGCACAGTGGGAAAGAAAAAAAAAGGGTGAAAAAATATCAGCATTTCTCATTTCTGCAGTACTGACCAATGTACAAGATCTCACACATCAAGAGAAGACCACACTGAAGATCTTCCCAGTCTCGGCTTTCTACACTACACTCCTTGATCACTCAAGTCTAATACCTCAAATACAAAGCCACAATGTTGGTAGAAATGGCTGGAGAGATTAGAGTGAGCCTACTTGGGAAGAAGTCTGTCCAAGGGAAACTTCAAAACAGAAATTCCCAGGAAAAAAAAATGCAGAAAAGGAAGATACATTGAAACAGATCTTGGAAAATTACATCATTGGTATTAGTATTTTTAGATACAAGGCTTTTCATAAAAACGTCTTGTTTTCACTTAGATGCAATTAGTCCTTTAAGAGTTCTATAGCACAAAAGCAGAGATTTCAGTCTCAAATATTTTATTTTTCACTACCTTTGCCTAATGCAACAGTTAATTATGACTTCAGGGTGCCAGGCTGCCTTGTCTAGACCATGCTTTTGCCAAGAAAGTTTGGACCAGATGATCCCCGAGGTCCCTTCCAACCTGGTACGCTATGATTCTATGACTACATAGACAAAGTAGTAAAATGCAATCTTGCTTAGCACAAACAGCTAGGACAAGATGGTAGGAAAGTATTGCTGATAAAGGGTTCCTGAAGGTCCGTTACTGTCAAAGGGATGAACTTCCATGCTGCAGCATATTTAAAACTGGTCTGTAACAAGCTATGAACAGCAGCCTGCAGGCAAGAAAGGAATGAAAACCAAAGATGGAGCACCCATCCTGCAGCCAGGCTTTTCCTTAAGATATCCACACTTATGAGTCTGAGAGTCCCCCCAGTCAAGGAGAGGAGGTGGGGTAACTCAGTTGCCCTCAAAAGAAGCAAGGACAAGAAGTGGCTGCTGTGGAGGGCAGCAGAGGCAGAACACAGTCCTATCAAAGAGCAAGGCTATTTGGTTTACAGATGTGGAAAGCCCAATCCACAAAATAATGCTAAATGTCGTGCCTTAGATGCTTTATGTACCATCTCCCACATGAAGTAGAGGCCAGTAAATACTTATCACCTCCTCAGCCCTGTTTACCAGATGTCCCCAGAGGGCACAGCAGCTCTTGGTTGCCCTTCCCCAAGTTTGGCCAAGCCAGGAGCACAAGCCAAGGAGGCGAGCTGCTTCAGGTGGGATTTACAAACCTGCCCACATCACACACATCTCCCTGTTCCTAAATCAGTCAGGTGTCAGTGGAAAGCCCAGTCTCTACCTCTCATTGTGCACTATTTTATTTTCTTTTTAAAATTGGGACTAATTCTGCCTCTTTTCTCCCCTTCTCTCCTGCAGAGGGTCAGTCCTTTGTAACCAAGCTATGTATATCAGGGAAACACCCAGAACAGAAACACCCCGGGGTTTGTTAGGGCTCCGCTATCCAGCTGTGACACCCAGGGTCCTCATCAGAAAAGCACGCCAACCTTGGGTGGTCAGAGATGGGGACAGAGCTGCGAGCATTTCTCCCCAGGTCCCACCATGAGCTCCTGGTGGACATTAGAAACGAAAGGCTCAGAGCTCCGAGTTACAGTTTTAGAGATGTGGGAGCATTTAAAGAAATATGCTGCTTCAGATTATCTGCTGCTAAAATTGTAGGGATAGAAGGAGGAAAGAAAAGTGTCTTTTCAGTGGCTTCTGCACCGAGCTGCACCCTGCAGGCTCCCAATCCTGAGACCCTGCACCATGGCCACCGCTCCTGCAGCCTCTGTCGGTGCTGCAGCGGGTTCCAGATGGGCTCCGGGTGTGCAAAGCGTCAGGACTGTGAGTTTTGCACAAGCTGTGCTCCTGCTCGCGCTGTGGGAAGGCGCCGAGCTCTGCCCTCCCGCGCTCCCCCTGCTCGGCCCCAACCCGGCACTCGCGCTAACCAGAACTGGGGTTTTTTGCATCCCAAGGGTGTGCGTTGGGGCTTTGCTCGCTTCTGCTGCGTGAACCGTGCTCTCTAGAAACCACCAGCCACCCTCCCCACAAGGGAGACATCAGCAGATCCAGACGGGACGCCCCCACGAAGCTGAAAGCCCCGTAGCGGTGTACGGGGACAATCGGCCAACAGGCAGCCTAGGCTCTTCCCGAAATTTATAAATAGAAACAGCCTGACGTGTTCGCAGAAAAAAAGTTTCCATACCAAAAAAGTTTCACCGCGGTCACACTGCTGTAAAGTTATGCCATTCTGTACCTACGCTATACACACACATGCTCAGCTTTATAATCAGGAAAAGCCAAACAAAAAAAAAAAAAAAGTCTTGTTTTAAATTATGAGCTTTCAGACAGTGGCACGCTCTGTGCTTAAACGAAATGTTTATTTTGACAAGCTGAGATAGACCATGTCTCTTCAAATGCCTGTTCTGACTCACTATTTGGAGTTTTTAACTCTTGTTACAGAACAGTTTTACAATTTAGCTCATCAGGTTAATAATGCGCAGCAAAAACCACTACAAGAGGGTTAAAAAACTCCCACTTGTTAAAGGAGAATTCAACTATTTTTCAAGTGCTGCTGATGACTGGGGAGTTCGGGCTCGGGCCGTGCTCCTGGGAGCCGGGATGGAGAGCGGGACACCCCAGCCTCGGCGGAAGGAAGCCGCGGGCACAGAGCGGCTCTGAGCCACGGCGGCAAGGGTGCATACGTGCGAGCTAAAGCACTGCAACCCGCCGGATAAAACAGCAGGATCAGGCACCAAACCACCCGAGCGAAGCACAAAAAGAGCTGATCTGAAGCCCTTTTCCCCACTTTTATAGGCTGTAGCTCAGGTCTTTGTAAAATGAATAAACACCGAGTGAAAGCCGGGCACCCAGCCACTGCACGGGGCTGAGCTGTAAATTTAATTCAGCGGTAACAAAGCCCGTGGAAAACGCTGTGTGCCCCAGAGGCGCAGTGAAACCTCCCCGTCTGTTCCCAGGCTGGGCCCAAACAACTGTGAGATGGGTGCCAGGGGGTCGGGCAGGGTGACAGCAAGCGTCACAGCCAAACCAGCAGCACCACTGCCTCACACAGCCAACACAAGCTGAACGTGGGTGAGGACCACGCCGTAAGGAGATGGTGAGCTGTTTCTGCATATAGCCACAAAACAAAATGTGCTGAATGTTTTTCAGAACGAACAAAAAGATCCAGCTGAGTCCCTTGCCCAAACAATCAAATAGGCAGAGAAAAGACAAGGAATGAGCACAATGAGGCAGTGGAGTAGGGAAGGACAAGGGTTACAGCGCAGAGATGTGGATCCAGCCTGCACCTCTCACTTGCACGCCTTGTGTTTTTGTTGGAACATTTACCTTTGCTGTACCAAGCCAGATGTTCCCAGCTCAAAGAGTTCCTGATAGAGGCTAGCTAAACTCATGAGTTCGGGGCAGGACATGTGCATGCACTAGGCGTGTCTCCTAATATTTCAGTGTTTGCACAGTTTTATTTTGATCCTGGATAAATACTGATATTTATGTGATATTCATGTAGGCTGGGGTTTCAAAAGGGCCTTGGGCTCAGCTGTGTCACCTAATTGCTACAGCAACATCTCACAGGGCAATAAAATAAAGAGGTTTTAGAATTTCTTAAATGGTGAGGGGGAAAAAAAGCAGTGCAATGGACAACAACCCCTGTTTGGACACTTGATAAGGTGTGAACATTTGGTTACAGGATAAAGTTTAGATTGTCACCAGGTGAATTTTCCTGGGTAGTTGTGGGTGCTCAGGTGCAAAGAACCTCAGATAAGGCCACAATATCTGCCTTCAAATTACCCGTGTTGGAGCACTGAGACAGAAGCTGATGCAAATCCCAGACGTTTCTCCTCTGACCTTATCTCTAGCCCTTCCCAAACCAGCAATGACTAGAGAAGCCCCAAGGAGAGAAGACACAAACATTACCCTGACCATAGAGCCTGGATCCAGCAGCTTTTCCTGAGTTACATCCCTGTGGAGGCCACCACAGAAGTTCACAGCAAGTTCACACCAACAGCACGACAGGAGACAGCCAGATACCATGACAGCACCGGGAGCTGAAGAAGGGAATGCAAAGCACTGGAGAAAAGATACCAAGGGAAAGCCCAGAGTTGACAACATCTCAGAGTGAAATGAGATGGGATCATCAGCCACCATTCGTTATTTACAGCTTGCGCTTGGCTACTGGCCTGGAGTTGATTTCAGAGCCTGGGAAGAAAAGGCTCCGCAACATCTCTGTGAATCCTCTAAGCACATCCATTCCTTTGCTTCAGAAGCACCTGCCAGTGAGACCCATCTCCAGGACTGGCCCGGTAAGGGCCTTCCAGAGCAGAATTGGGTTGACCTCCCTCCCACTTCAGTGACAGGATTATTGACTGCCAGTGCCTCTGCAAACCCTGCTTGGGATTGCTCTGAAGCTGCCCACACCGAGACGTCTGCTCCTGAACTGCTCTAATGGAAAGCTCTCCGACACACTCCTGTCCTGTCCCGACACCAGCTCAGGATCTCACCAGCACGTACTGGGGAGCACAACGGGGAGATCTTCACATTCCCTCCAGACTGTGGTTTCCAGTGACAAACCCGATCCTAACACGTGTACCCTGATAACAGGGACCAGCTCAGCACCAGGGCTGGCCTGTCACACACCACCTGATGCAGCTGAGACAAGGCACACGTCTTCCGTGGTCACAGCCATCAGCCCAGCGGCACACTGGGAAACGTGGCTCCTCAGGTGAGTACAACCCCAGCCTGGCTGCTCCCTGCAGCCATGAGTGCCAGGACTTCCCCCCCAAAACCACACATTCCCCTCCCATCTCTGCTTCCACCTCATGTTCTTCACCATCCACTCTTGCTGTCCATCCTCAGTAGTAAGTGCACTGAGAAGAGAGGCAGCCAGGTTGTATGAGGCTTTCCATCCACATCCTATCCTGCACTTCTGTTGAGTCTCAAACTTGGTACACACCTGAATTCACCGATTCCTTTCCCTGGGATAAGTATCCAATGCCAAATATAAAGAAAGAACTTGACTGAAGTAGCAAGATCAGACAATAGTTAAAAACACAATTACGAGACCAAAGGCATTGGGGCACCTCACCTGCTCAGGTACAAATATAAAGCCATCTTAGTATTGCCTTTCATTTGGGACAGCTGAGAGCCAGGCCTCTACAGCACACAGACATTCCTGAAAAATTCAGGTTCACAGTGTTGAACTTCATGTGCCCTTGAAAGTGCCAGCCCTGGAATGTAAGACCAAAAAAAATCTCCCACCTGGAAGCTTTCCAAAGAGGGCCTTGAAGGATGTAATATCTAGAATGGGACTGTAAAAACACCCTGTGTTAGCTTAACTTTTTCCTCCTGAAATAAAACTCATCCAACCCAAAAATTCCCTATTGACTTCAGTGTTTTTGAAAACCCCATCCACAAGAGCAGCATTGATCAAATCTTTTTTTTTCTTTTTTTTTTTTTACTGTCATCAGTGGAATGGTATCTAAATAGAATAATTCAGCAGACTGACCTGACTGTCCCGAGCAATGGGCAACCCTCCAGCTTTGCCCACCCAACCTGGCAGTCAGCAGCAGCCTGCGTCCAGCTATGCAGCGCTGGGCTCTCCGTCTTGCTCATGGGGGAGACTGTGCCTCCTTTTAGGATGGGGGCCAAGTAGCACATCAGCTATTCAAGGCGAGAGAAGACCTGCCATCCTCTACAACAGATGAGGTTAACCTGTTTGGGCTTGCAAGGCAAGTGCAGCTTCAGATCAGACTGTACCTTCCCGACTTCATACCTGACCAGACTTTCATCTTAATGTCAAGTGGAATGTCTCTGAGGACAGACTTAGATTCAAGACACACATATAGACAGTGTGTGTTTTACCAGAATGCTGATTTTACACCTGTGACCATTCTTCTTGGAAATTTATTTTCTGGCAGACCTTTGCAAAACCCTCAATGTTAAAACCTCTCCAACCTGCTGTGGAGAGTCAGCCAGGCCACTTTAAAGGGGCATTGCAGTCCAAATTTTCAGAAATCCTCTTAAACTCAAAGATTCTGGTAAAGTTTAAGATCCAGAAATCCGCTTCCATTCTTCTCTCCAACACACCCAGCTCCTGATTGTCCACATTGCTACATACCTACGGCCACGGCTACAGCTAGTTTTTACATTCTTCAAGTTACTGCAGAGGGAATTCAGTGCACAGTGTCCTCCAGATCCTCTGGGTCAACTTGTGACCAAGTATGAAAGCCAAGAGCTCTCTCTGGGCTCTGGTCTGGGTGGGACCTGCCATAGCTCCCGACACCAGAACACAGGACAGCAGAGGAGGAAGGTGCCTCATGCCTTTCCCACAGCCGTACAAAGGCTCACCACCTTCACCCACAAGTACCACAGAGGAGCAGTATTTCTGAAATGTATCCTAGCATTTGCAAATACACTCAGTCCAAAAATCAAATCAAAAAGGCTCTTTTGTACACAAGAAGGCACCACCTCTACTCAGCTTTGCTGGATCGGCAGCAGCCTGACCAGAGCCATCGACCCACTCAAGCTGCTTCCCGCTGGTTTGGCAGCATGAGCCTCCAGCCTGCTCATAACCAGGCTATTAAATCAGGTTCAGGTTGTTTGGATACCAGAGCAGCACAGTTCAGAGAGTGGAGTTTAAAAGACCCCTCTCTTAAACAATGATCCTTTTGAGATGCTGAATGAAAACAGGCAATAGCAGCACTTCAGCACAGAAGTCACCAACAAGAACTACGATGCATATGAGAATGGGGACACGTGGCCAACTTTAAATCCAAATCAAATGTTTCTGAGCTTCAGGACACTGACAGTCAAAAGTCCGAATTCCTCTCTAACTGCATCCAAAGCAGCACCAAAGCCAGGCACTTCCACAGGCAAAAGGGGAAGATTGTGTTCACAAACAGATACACAGGAGCAACATCACGCAGTGAACACAGCTTCTCTTTATTAACCAGAATATTAAAGCACATGCTAAGTTTTGTTCAGGCTCTCAGTTAGGGCCTTCTCTAATTTTCAGACATTATTAATTCACTTAAAATTAGCAGGCTATGCTGTATACCTGCCATTGTGCTATGCTTCGTTTTGCTCATTTTCTTTACCTCTTCAGGATGGGAAGAAAACTTAGACAAAGCTCTGTTGCTAAAACCCTTGGTCAATAAACATCTCCCTCATGATCTACAACTCTCTACTAAGAGTACACAAGGGAGCTGGTAGCAGGGAAACAGTAAGGTAACAGCCACTGCTTGTTTTATTTTCTCCAACTACAGGTTGAGTTATTCTGTGTAATAAAAGGGAAAGGGGGGGGTTGCTTTTTATGAAAGACATTTAAGTCATAAAGCATCCAGCACTTTGCTTCATGCTACGACTCATGTGAGTTTTAATTCTAAGAGAGTTGCTGGCAGCGGTACAGTTTTCACACTCTTATATTTAGAGAGGCTTGCCTGAAAAATAGCCAGAGCTGTCTCTTATAAATCAGGTTGTTCTGACAGTGCCCGGACAAGCAGTAAAGGCAAATGGGGGGAAATGAAATTACATGCTGCAAAGGGAACTCTGAAATAATAAGCTTTTATTTTTGTCTTTTCAAAAGTTCACAATAATTAGAACTATTTTTTCCTCTATTCTTTCATTTGTTTTTAAGCCAGCCCCTGCTGACAGGCTCTGGGCCCCCAACCTCTGGTTCCCATTCATTTGTCTTCAGCCATGTGGTTCCCATATTCTTGGCTGGGTGTGTGAGTTGACATCGCCAAAGGCTGGGGTGGAGAAGACACAGCACTCGGTTCGCTCTGGACATGGGACCCCGTGCAGCACACCCCTGCCGAGCAGCTTGCAGGCAGATGCATTCCTGCAGCACAAGGCCAGGCCACAGGACACCCAAGTCGGTGGAAAGGGTCTTGCCTGCAGTGGGCTTGGTATGGAGATCACATCTTCCACTGACATGGGATTTTTTTTCCTTTGAACTGGAACATCTCCCTTTCTACAACCAAATAGAAGTAGCACTGAAAACTGCTGATCTAAGTTGGGAAGATATCAGCAGCTGGATGTCCCTTCCTTGTCCCCAGGTCCCAGGGGGGAACTACATCCCCTCTTCCAAGAAAACTGACACACACCATTGGATGTAATGCTGTATTTTACAATCTTGGCTTGGCCTGCATTGCTGGGGGATCCTCAGGACAGGAATTTCCAGCCTCCAAGGTTCCTATCCAAAGATTTTTCAACCTCTCAGTTTAAGCAATGTGAGTGCTACTCTGCCAGAAGTCAACTTCAGACTTTACTAGTCCTATACAACTCAACAGCAGTTTGCTCTCATCTTCAGCAGAATTTTAATTTGACCCTCAGCAAGAAGCCAGATGGAACAGCAATTGCTAAATGAACTGCTGGGAACCCAATAAAGCTGATAAAAGGATAAGAGCAACAAAACTACCCTTTATTCATTCATTCATCGGGTTTTACTGTTTGAAGTTCTCCATGAACTGCTTCCAACCCAAATTCCTCCCCATACATGTGAAACGGAAAGCTGTGTGATAAAGATGGAAAGAAATAATCATAGGCTCTGAAAGAGCTAGAGGAGACAAAGATGAGCAGAAGAGGCAACAAGACAGATTTGGGAACTCAGGATCCCCATGGCAGATCCCAGGGAAGGGGAGCAACACTACCTGGGTGCTAGGGCCACAGTGAAAAGCCAACAGAAGAAACAAATAGCTCAACAAGTGTTTTATTTCTGTTTTTTCCAGGATGGGCTTGATCTAACATCAGGTGGAGTTGACTGGTGCCCATCCATTGCCTTCAAGGGGCTTTGAATCCACTGGAAATTGAAGCATGGGATAAACTATGATGGCCCAAGAGCAAATAGCCAAGAACCTGCCCCAGGTCAGGAGGTACCATCACATCACCCCAGATGGGTGCTGAGGTGGAGGTAAGGCTTGAACCCATGTGGATCCCATCCCCTCCACCACCTCGCCTCTCTCCAGGGCTGTGTTCACAAGCTCCGCCCCAACCCCAGGGTCCACACCCAGTTACCAGCACCAGCTTCCACCCCCAACAGCCTTGAGTTTGAAAACTGAGAGTGGAACATAAGAGAAACAAAAATTAGGGTTTCCACAGCAGCAGCAGTGTGCAGGCACTACATCCCCTGAGTTTCACAGACATGTTTTACAATGCACCCAGTGATATATCAGGTTACACGGCCGAGAACAGGAACATGGAGCAGCACACGTGTGCGGCACAGCTGAATGAACAATAACCGCAGGAACGCTGCTGGCACTCACATTTAGTCTAATTCATTTTTACTTTGCAGACACAACATTATAGTCCTTTTTTCACTTCTAATTTTTCTTCTTATAAAGGGGAAAGGAACATGATAGAAAAAAAAAAAAAAAAAAAAAAGAGGACTCCATGCTAGAAGTCTTCAGCGTTACACCAAGACGCTCCAGTGTGTATATGCAAACAGCAACTAAAATAGAAGGGGCGGTTTCCCAGCTGCTGCAATCTGTGTGGTGCTATTAATTTGACAGTCACTTAAACCAGGGGAATCTCTGATCCCAAAGGAGGATGGGTGATGCCCGGGCAAGAGCAGAACAAGGTACTGGGCCAGGCTGGTGTAGACAGGAATGGTTCACCAGCCTCCCTGTGGTTCTGCTCAGACCTGGAAGGAAGAACTTGCCCCCTGCTATCAGTTTCCTGAATTAAAAACAGCTCAAACTACTAATTTCTTTTCAAAGCCAGCTTTAGTTGCCTTTCTTGCTACTCTTTGGCCCACATCTCCCCTAGCTAGTCCTGCATCTCCTCACCTGCACAAGCCTGGCCAGGAGGTGGACGAGGGGGCTGGGCTGTCCATCCCGCAGGCACCACCGAGCAGGGGCAACCCCAAACTGGGGGAGCGGCCAGAGCACAGATATTCAGGAGAAAGTGCTTGTTTATGTGAAAACACAAGGAGGCAAATAGTTGACATTAAGATTTTGGGGAGGCTGTGGGACTGGGCTATTTCTTTCAGCCCTCACACAAAGGGACCTTTTTTGTCTTGCTGTAAAACAGAAACGATATTGAAGGGTCTGTGGAATTTCTGGGCATTTTTTTCCCCTTGGAGACTCAATGGCCCCGCGCTCCAAAGCGACAGATGAAGTAGGATGCAAAGGACAAGGCGTTCAATATGTGGCTCTGTCCCCCTGCTGCCACAGCCACCCCCCCACCCCC